CCTGTGGTCTCACAGAAAGCATCCACCCACGCAGTGCTGTCAATTCCAGGATAACATTGGGTAGAATGTTATCTCATGAGGAAAACTGGACAAGGCCTACCTCTCACTAGTGCTGTGCACAGGAGGCTGGTGTTGTCTAGGCCTGATGTCTAGGTGTCTCAGGACTGGAAAATTGGGACCTCGGGAGGAACTTTTTTTTTGTTGTTTAGCGTTGCCAGGCAAACTGATACTTTACCTGGGGTATTAGAAGAATCACTGTGTATATTGTATACTGAGAATGGCTGAGGAAGGACCTCTCTATTTGAAATCAGTTTTGCTCATTGTAGAAAAGGGAACAAGTTTCAACTTGTGGCAGAATTGGTGCGGAAATTAATTTTTCTATTTTGTAGTGCAAGTACTATTTCTTTTTTTCCCTTTTATTGTCAAAGTGATGTACAGAGGGGTTACCGTTGCATAAGTGAGGTAATAAGTACGTTGCTTGTCAAACTTGTTACCTCTTCCCTTATTTTTCTCTTACGTTCCCTCCCTTCCACCCCGCCCCAAGTTGTACAGATCATTTCCAACACATTGTCTTGTGAATAGCACTGTTGCCGGGGTCCCCACCCCCACCCTCCTGCCTCCTCCTTTGTCTCATCATTCTGTTGTTCCCCCTCCCTTCCCTAATTAAGAAAAACATATGTACAATACCAGGGTACCAAAATCAAATACAGTGACAACAGGGGATATACCATAGTGGGAAAGAACACACAAACAAAAAAATCATATAGCACATTAAAAACAACAACAAAGAAAAACCTCTTGTGTCCATATCTTGGAGTCTGTTTCACTTAGCATCATCTTATATGGTCAAATGTACATAGCTATTGAGCTATTCTGCTCATCTGCTAAGATTAGCCTAGACGTATATGAATTATTACAAATAAGGGAAACCATGGGACCTGTATTTCTTTGTGTCTGGCTTATTTCACTTAATATGATTTTTTCCGTCTTTCCATTTCACTACAAATGGGGTGGTGTCATTCTTTCTGATGAAAGCATAAAATTCCATTACACACACACACACTCACACACACACACACACACACACACACACACACACCTACATAGTCATATGTAGGTATATGTACCACATTTTCTTGATCCATTCATCTACTGAGGGGCATCTGGATTGACTCCATATCTTAGCTATGGTGAATAATGCTGCAATAAACATAGTTGTGCTGGTAGTTTAGTATGGCCGTGTTTGTAATCACTTGGGTAAATACCCAGAAGTGGAATTGTTGGGTCATAAGGGAGCTCTATGTGTAAACTTTTGAAGAACCTCCATTCTGCTTTCCAGAGTGGTTGAATGAGTTTACCTACCAATAGTGCAATAGCATTCCCTTTTAGCCAAATCCCCTCATGTATTTGTTGTTATTAGAGTTTTTGATTATAGCCATTCTAACTGGGGTGAGGTGGAATGACAATTATGACATGATAAAGGGAGAAAGGATTGAGAGAACATGAGTTTGGGCATTCTAAAGATTGGGGTGGAATTCTGACCTTGCTTCTTACGTGTGTGGTGGTTCTCATACAGTTTCATTCAAACACTCTGATGCTTTGTTTCTATATCTCTTAAAGGGATGAAAGAATATTTACCAGTTATAGATATTGCCATGATTAAATGGATTAGCACAATTCCTAGCCTGTATTAAATATCTGATATGTTTGCTAGAAACAAAGGAAGAATACAGCTGATTCCTGAGAGATAGTTTAAAGGGCATTGACGGTTATGTTGGTGCTGGTGGGTGTAACCCTAATCCTGTGTTCACCACTGAAAGACATTAATATCAGAGCAAATGATTTTTTAAAATTATTTTCTTCATGTTATAACAGATCTTCCCAAATTCCATCCTCATCTCATTGTAGATCACCAGTTTTTAGGTTCAAAGTCTAGATAAATTGACAGTGAATCTGCTAATCAGAGAAGATTCACTGATTACTGATTACTCACTGGTTACTTGTTTACTTATTTTTAATTATTTATCAGAATGAAATGACTCAGTAAGTTTAAATTTGCCTGCACTGTGTATGCAAAACTTGTACATGTGGATCACTCTCAGGAACTCCTTGAACCGCACCAATAGTGGCCAAGCTCTTTTCTGTCATGATCACAGGATGAACAGCTTTAAGTCTGTACAAAATGTACAAATAGCAGATATTCACTGTCTTGCTATTGAGTTTTTCCCCTTAGGGAGAACCCTATAAGCTTTAGTGAAGCACCAATACCTCAGAATGAGATTACATGTGTAGAAATCATAGCCCCACTCTAGGGATCCTTGCAACCCTGGGTGAAGTCTTTTCATTTCTATGATTTAGTTTCCTCATTTGTAACAAGGGGATAATGATCACTCTAATCACATTAGCAAGTAGTTTTAAGAATAAAAGAAAATCAGGTGCCCAGTGGTTCATGCCTGTCATCCTAGCTATTCTACACTGAGGATCACAGTTCAAAGCCAGCCTGAGCAGGAATGTTAGTGAGACTCTTTTCTCCAATTAATCACCAAAAAGCTGAAACTGGAGATGAAGGTCAGGTACTCCTGAGCACAAAAGTTTAGGGACAGTGCCCAGGCCCTGAGTTCAAGTCCCAGGCCTGGCAAGCATGCATAAGTAAATAAATAAATACATAAATAAGAAAGAGGTGCCTACAGAGAGCATGCAAGAAAGGGTTAGTTAAAATGAGCTTATATTTGGTGGTGCTTCCTGCATTACACATATTACACATAGTAAAACATCGAACTCCCTACATGTTTAAAAAAAGATAATTTCAAATACAGAAAATAGTAACCCAAGCATGAAGGAGGTGGGAAGAAGCTAGACATCAAGAGCATGAAAGCTCCTACCAACTAAAGGTTGGGAGTCAAAGGAAAGAGGAATAATGATACTCTAGGAGTGGTAGACACCAAAGGTTCTGGGGTCATGGCAACCCTGTCAGCACAACTGAAGACAAAAGGGAAGCAGTCTCGGAGATTTCTCCTGAGACGAGGAGTAAGAAGCTGTGTTCTGTTGTCCCTTATCTTCTAGATTTCAGATCCCTTGGCAGGGCTAACTTTGGGCAACTCTAGGAACTGCTATCTACAAGGCTAACCTTGGGTGAGTCTGGGAGCTTCTATAATGGTCAGGGCCAGAGACTCTTGTCAACTCAAGTCTTAAACACCAGTTGCCTGTTTGCTGGGCTAACTACTGTGATAACTAATACAGTTTTGAAGAGCACCTTAAGTCTAGTGTCTGATGAACTACTGAATAACAGCTGAGTAGTACAGGTTGCTATGTTCCAAAGGTTGAATTTGGAAAAGCAATGGCCAAAAACAAGGAAAACAAAAAAACAAATCCATACAAAATTGCAAGAGTCCTGGCTATGGCCATTTAGGTGACCCCTTCTAGAAATCAAAACTACTGACTAACCAGGGAATTTGTGGCCTAAAATGCCCCCACCCAGCCTTTCATCCGGCCAGCTTCTGAAGAACTTAGGATGCACTGAACTCTTTATGTGGGGATAGACTGATCCTACCCTGAAATGCTCCATTTAAAGTTCTCTCACGTACATTGGACTGTGAGCATATTGAGTTCAGGGTCTTGTTTTCTTTCTCTTTGCATCCTCCAACATTTGTATTATCATTCTCTTCTGCCCTGAACTAGTGAACACAGTAAGTCCTGGATTGCTTATCATGCGCATAAGCAGTGTCTGCTTCCTACAGCTTTTCTCTTGGAAGGGGAACAGATGGTGGATGATGTCTCAAAATTACCAGTGTCTCTTCTGCTGAGGAAGGCCAATAGTGCTTGAGAACCATGAAGAGGGTGAATCTGTTGTTCCTAGAATGTCAGAAAAGGCTTTCTAAGAAAGTAACATCTGACTTAGGAAGAAGTTGGAATTCAGCAAGCATAAAGGTTGAGGAATGGCATTCCAGGCAGAGGGAAGCAACGTATGCTCAACAGCAAAGCTGTTGAGGTGCCGAAGCACAATCTGTATCGGCAATTGAGAGCAGAGTGGCCATGCATGCTGCTGATGGGAGTCTGGAAACCACTATGTCCTATATGCCAGTGTCCTGTGTGCCAGCACCTCCCACCTCTTGCCTCCATACTATTGTTAGGCAGATTTACATGTTTTAGCTCATACATCATACCTAGTATGGTTTTGTGCCTAAAAGATGGTTGTTTGATAATTGGAATGGACATAGAACAACTCTAGCTAGCTCTCTAATCATATTCATAATTTCTCTTGCCCAACACATCTCAAGGAATATATTCTTGGTGGAAGAACCCATTTCTACCATTTATGGCAACTCTCTGCTCCTGTTGTTACTGTTGTTGTTGTTATAATCAGGAACTCATTTTTCTTTACCCTTTCTTTCGTACTTTTGGAGCCGTGCAAAAAAGTAGATAGGAATGGTGACCTATGGATATGGAAGATGAAGTCATCCAACAGTTCTGTTTGCTTCTGCCTTTCTAGAGATCGAGATGTAGTATGTTATCCCATCTGTTGGACTTCTTACCAGCGTTGTGACCTTAAATAAGTCATGTGACCTGTATAGATCTTACTTTCACCTGTAATACCTGTCTGTGGCTTAAATAGAATTTACGTGATGGTATTAAAGTCAAATGAGACCATTTTTTGCAAACACATAGTACAGTATCTGGAATTCAGAGAACACAAACCTGATAGTCACTGCTTTTGGTATATAAACAATTCTAGCTACTATTATTGTTATTGTTATTGTTGTGGTTATAAGATTGAATGTCATACATAGACCAGAGTAAAGCAAAAATAGAAGAGGTTTCTTACTTTCCTCATGGCAAGCAAGCATGCTCATTTGGGTCTTTTGTTTGACACTGATCTGCCACATGCCACTGGTCTTCTATGTTATTTGACTTGTTTTTCATTGTGTTTTATATTTGTTTTTAGCACTCTCTTCTCCTTTTAATTTTTTTAAAGAGGATTTTGTTGTTTTACTTTCTCATAGGAGTGATTGGAGCAGATGTGAGAGGTCATGGCCTGGTCTGTGAAGGACAGCCAGTGACGTCCCGGCTGGCTGTCATCTGTGGAACGTCTTCTTGTCACATGGGGGTGAGTGTGCTGGATAGAAAGGCAAGGCCACCACCTGGAGTGGGAGGCAGCCCCGGGGGAGAGCCTCATCTGCTGGCTCCTTCACACCTCCACCTCTGCCCTCTTTTTCCTTCCTGTCCCCTATGCTTTGTCTAGCCAGAAGTCTAGCCCTCCCTCCCACAACCTTGCTTAAATTTGCCAGGTTATTTTCCAGGAGCCAAAGTCCTTAAAAATGTGCAAGGGTTCAGTCAGCCTTTGAAGCCATTCTAGTAAGAAAACCTAGGTATGACAGGTGAACTTAGGCCCCAAGATAACAAAGCTTAACTCTTCCATACCAATCTCTGCCTGATGCCTTGCTGAGCCCTCCCTGCAAAGGGCTGGCTATTTTCCTTGGCTGCCGAGTGCTCTCTCCATCAATATAAATCCATCTCCCTGGGAACGTCCTGATGATCTATAGAATTAGGCTGCATATCATGACTTCAAAAGAACACTGATAAGCAATTTTCACTTTGTTAATTTTTCTCCATGAGTTAGTAGAAAGGCTTTCTCCAAGATTGCAGTTAAAATTTAGTGCCTGCCCTAAAATTTATATCTTCTTTAAATGCATGAGTCTGAAAGCATTCCATTTCGATAAGTACCCATTTCTACCATATTTTTATTTAAAAGTCATTACTCTGTTAAAGTGAGATGGACGACTCCTTGGATTTTTCCCAGATGGAGTAAAATAAAGGGGCAAGTGGGGGAGGAGGAGGGATGAGCAGAAAGTAGAATGGGATACAGCCCAGGGCAGAATCTTTGCCATGAGGATGAAATCATTTGTCATGTGAAACTGTTTAGTAACTATGGGACCACTGATTCTTATTTTTATGGGAGACTTTGAAGAAATATTTATTTACTGTTTTACCTATGATAAATTCTTAGGACATGGGGATGATATAGACAATCCTTTCCTGTAAATGAGATAGTTAAAACAGACATTAGAATATAATATCAGGCCCTCAAAATTCAGATTCAGATTGAACTAATGGTATGGAACATTGGGTATGTGCCAGGACCTTTGGGAGGTGTTCATATGCATGACCTCTCATGTCAAAGACAGGGTGGAGCCATCCAACTGGCTTCCAATCCCACTTCCTCCACTTTGGAATCTGAGACCCTGGGCAAGGAGTTTCAGTTCTCTGGGCATCAGATTTCTCATGTAAAGAAGTCAAAGCCTTCTTCTAGTCCCTGTCTCCTAGAATGTGCAATGAATAAGGCATTGCTTTGCATAGGGAAAGCCTTGCAAAGTCTTGATCTTGGTTTAATAGCCCATTGCCATAGAACAGAAAGTAGACAATGATTGACTCAGTCAGGAGGAGCCAGTATTGCAGAAACGTTTCTGACATGACATTTGGGCTAAACTTGAAAGAATTACATTTCCTTTTTCCTCTCTGGGCTCTGAGCTAAGAACTCAAAGCTCATGCTTCTCCCTACAACACTATTTATTCCATGCTTACCACGTGCTATCATAGGACAGAGAGATCACAGGCCTTCAGGTCACCAGATGCAGGCTGGGACATCTGTCATGTACTTTTTGGCCCTTGGCCTATGTGAGACCCTTCACTTCTCTGAGTCTCAGAGCCGTCATCCATCAGTTTGAGGATAATGGTGACAGCCCCATAGTGTATAATAGGTATTATATCTGTATGTGCCTGGCTTACAGTAGACACTCAAAAATGGTGGGAATTCTTGTCAATTTTCCCAGTGACATATATTGTTCAAATGAGGCAACTGTTTAGGCTTTCATGAATTTGATGGGCAGCTGCAGCTGGTTGCCATGAATGAGGGCCATAAAATGCCAGTTTATTATGTGGTGTTGTACTGGAAATACAACCTCCACCTCCACCCCACTTTGTACTTAGGAGTGGGAAGGGACCTTCTGGGCCAAGGGGATTAATCATCAGCTTTAATGTTATGTCACAAGGGGAGACTGTGGTCCTGCTGGCCTCAGAAAGTGCCTTTGATCTCCCTCAGGTGCTGGGAGCCCAGCAAGCCTGCAACAATAACACCTTTGTGAGGTCTAGAGGAGGCACAGGTCTGAGAAAACACTCCCAGGGAAACTCAAGGCCCTTCTTTGTTGTGGTTCTGGCAAGTAAAACCACCAACTGTCAGGAAAAATTCACCAGACAGAACACAGGGACCAAAGAAGGTTGTGAGTTTGTCAAAAAAAGTGGTTGACAACATGATCTAAAGGATCCTCTCTCTTCCTGTCTGCTCACTTCTGATGATTTCAATTCAGTGGGTTAATTGATATGAAATTCCCAGGACAACGTATACTTGATCCAGGTTGCTGTTTTCTGGATTGCCCAAAAAGAAGGAAGGGAGGGAGAGAGGCAGAGAGGAAGGGAGGGAAGAAGGGACCAGGTAATTGAGTATTGGTAAATACTTAAAAGCTCCCTACTTCTTGGTTCCTGTTACCTCCAGGAATCTGGAGAAAAAGCCTGAGGTTGAACATAAGACATACTAATCAGGCCTTTGATATTTTAGAAGATACAAGTGTGGGCTGCACATTTATCTTCCTTGTACATGATTTAATTACCAAGAAAAAAATGCTGTGCTTTTTTTTTTAACTCCATGAAAGCAGAGCTGCTTGTTCAGAGTTAATTACTACCAAGTCACCAAAATACAGGCTAACACAGCAGGGGTTAGCCAAAGGTTGAAAAGTCATGGGGTCAGAGGGGGCTGAGTCTTGTCATTGCTCTAGGTCCCCATTTCTGGAGCTGTCAAGGCGGGCTGTAACTGGCAATCAAATGGGAAGCAGTCTTTGGTGATGTAGGGAGTCTAGCTGCATCTTAAACTGCTTGGAAACGAAGGCTTCACAGTCTCAGGTAAATGTGCAGGTAGTGGATCTTTTGTGACTGAGTGAATGTCAAGCCTCAAAGTCATAGGCTCCTGTTGGCCATAACGCTGGCTGACTTAAGATATTTTATTTGTTAGTACCTCAGTTTCCTTGTGCTTAAAATGTGGGAAATAGTTTTTGCCCATAAAATTATGTTGAGAATTTAGTTAAGTCATCTTTATAAACAACTTGATACTGTTTCTAAGGGCACAAAAATACCATGTATGTTGTTGTTATTATTATTAAAGATGATTTCTTAAGGTTAAAATGATGAATTAGAATTAGGGATATTAGTATGAACTCATAGCTTAGCGTAGCATATACTTCTGATTAGATGTACACATACAAGTTAGTAAGCATGCATTTCCCAACTGTGTCAGATGGGAGGGCCTAGAAAAAAGAATGTCCCAACAGGTAGATGTTACAAGCACACCTAATGTCCAGATTTTGTTTCCTAATCCCACAAGTTCAATAAAAAAGAGAACTAGGACTCCTCAGAGAAATGGTTGAACAGAAAGTAGATATGATCACAAAATACTTGATACTAGATAGTTAATAAGAAAAGATGTTTCTTAACTCGGGGTTCTGGAGGTTCAAGAGCACGGGACAAGTATTTGCACAGCTCTAATGAGGCTCTCCATGGTCGGATGGCCACTTAGCAGATGGCATCATGGTGAAAGTTCTAGCTAGAGAGGGGCATCACATGGAGAAGCTTGATCCTCAGGATAGAAAGACAACACATTTGCTCTTCCTGTTTCCTCTACAGAGGCAGACCACTAGAACATTTCATCCTCATCCCACGCCCCTTCCTACTGTGCCCTTGGAAGAAGGGCACGATTCCCTCCCTTTGGGCCTCTCCAGGATGGGCTTAGGCTGCCTGGCTCTGTAGCCTGACCTCTACACTGTTGGGAAGGACAGATGGGAGCCTGTGGCCTTGGGCTCCAGCCAAAGAAAAGCTTCCCTTCAAACCACACCAGGTTGCTACGCCATGTTATTTGCTAATGTCTCTAATGGCACTCTACAGCTGTCTTAGATTATATGGGGAAAACATTCATCAAAAGCATAGGGGGCGTAGTCCTTGTGTGGCTGCCTTTTACCCAGGGGCAACATGCACAGGGCACTGGACAACGTTTACATGTTAGAGAAACCAAGAGTATTCAGTGTCTTTACTTGAAAGGGAAATGCAAATTAAAGCAGAGTGAAATCCACTGCAAGCTGGAGTCCTGGTAAGAATGTGGGCAAATAGGGCTGGGAAGGTGGCTCAGTGGTAGAGCGCTTGCCTTGCATGCCTGAGGCCTTGGGTTCGATTCCTCAGCACCACATAAGCAAAATGAAAAAAGCCGGAAGTGGCGCTGTGGCTCAAGTGGTAGAGCGCTAGCCTTGAGCTGAAGAGCTGAGGGACAGCGCCCAGGCCCAGAGTTCAGGCCCCACGACTGGACCCCCCTCCCCCGCAAAAAAAAAGAATGTGGGCAACTAGAGCTCAACGCTACTGTCAGAAAGGGGACATGGGTCATCCATTTTGGAAAAGAGTTTTAAATGTTTCCTAAACAGTTACACCTCCTGTGCAATTCCATTCTTATAAAAGCTGGCCAGGAGTTTCTGACCCCATGTAAATAGAAGCCCAACCTGAAAACAAAAATCAGGTGAAAGCCCCCAACTGAAGGTCAGAAACAAAAGTTTTGTGAGATGTGGCTCACCAAAGTACTACAACTTGACTAGGAAGAAAAGAAATGGGACAGCAGTATTTCAACTCCCTTGTAACAAGCTGCAAGGTTAAGGGATCATGTTTTATACCTGGGGTCACAGGAGTTGCAGATGGGTATGGAGGTATGGAAGGTATGGAAATGGGTATGGGTATGGAGGTATGGAAATTTCTAGAGGATTGTCTTGGTAGAGGAAAATTAGCAGCAATTACAAAAACATACATATAGTGTGCCAGTCCTGGGGCTTGAACTCAGGGCCTAGGTGCTATCTATAGCTTTTGCATTCAAGGCTCATGCTGTATCACTTGAGCCACAGCTCTACTTCCAGCTTTTTTTTTTTTTTTTTTTTTTGTCACTCATAAGGCTTGAACTCTGGGCCTGGGCGCTCTTCAGCTCAAGGCAAGTGCTCTACCACTTGAGCCACAGTACCACTTCCAGTT